CTTCCTACGCCTTATATAATTGACCGGGACCCAGAAATCTAACTGGACCAAATCAATTGGTTCCTTAGGCACATACGTTTCCCCAATATCACTTTTCGGAATATCTGATTTAAGGTTTTCACCTGCTTCTAAGCAGCTTTTACAGTACTTTGCTAATGCGGCAATTTTTCGATGCATTAAGGGTATCCACACATCCTTTGCGGCTGCGAACATCTTGTCTCGTCCATGGTGCTGAAAGTGTAAACGGTTGAGCACTGCTGAAGACATGTCCTTCGGTATGGCCAACCGGCCATCCATCCACAGACAATTTTCTCCTACTGCAAATTCATTATAGTGTTGGGCGTAAAATGGTCCTAGTCTCGTGATGATTTCTTTGGCTCTCGGTTTTCTGTCTTTGATTGCATCACGGATGGTCTTCATAATGGGGTCCTTCTCCAGATTTGCCTCGACTAACTTTAAACTCAGATTCTCCGGATGTTCTAATTTCCTGACAACTTTACTATCTGACGGTACTATTGAGTAAATCCATCTATCCCTCATCAGTTTCCCGGAAAAGTGGGTAGGATAATCCGGGAAACTGATGAGGGAATGAAATTATAGTATTTGATTTTTTAGAATTTGACACTTCTAAGACACTTCGATATTCACCGGGAAACAAGGATTATTTGTGATGCTAGTCTTGATGGCCTAAGGGCCGTCTTAAAACAGCATAGCGCCTCCGGTTGACATCCGATTTCGTTTGCGTCTAGATACCTTAACCCGGCGGAGAAGAAGTACTCTACAAACGGATTAGAATTACTCGTAGTAGTGTGGGCTACGGAACATTTTCGGAATTACATATATGGCCGCTATTTCACAGTTATTTCGGATCACAAGGCTCTGCTGACGTTGTTGAATTCATCTCCGAAAGGAAATAAAACGTTTTTCAGCCGACTAACGCGCTGGTACGATCGTTTAGTACCGTAAAATTTTAAATATGAACACAGACAGGGGTCTAAAATGGGAATGGCAGACTATTTGTCACGGTTTCCATCCGCAGAGGCACCCAAGACCAGTCGTTAGGATGAAAGTTTTATAGTAGCAAAAATAAAAATGATAAACGAAGCACTAAATCCTAAGGCTCAAATGAAGCCTAGGGGTAAAAATGTGAACCACATAAAATCAATACCGGCGGTAGAGGGTGATCAGTCATGTTATGCTATAACGAAAACCGTCGCATCCAATGGGAATATAAGAACAACTGAATATGCAAATACTCACTGTGAGAGTAAACGCTCACTAGAGGGCGTGTTTGCATGCAACCGGCAGTTAACCAATCAGAATCAAGAGATTTGCATACCGGCGGAAATATGCAAAAAATCGGAGAAAGAAATTCAGACGTCGTTCTCAATACGTAATTTCAAGTCGCGCAATGCAAAATATGAGTAACATGAGTAGTAAAAACACAATAAATTCACCCGAAAAACATGATCAACTCACTTCCGCCATTGTAAATACATCAACTCACTCTGGAGACGTTAACTTAAATGTTGTGCTTAATCGGTTAAATCAACCACACAGTGTTAGTTCCGTCAGTTCAGACTCGGATATTGAGTTAATACCGCCTGAAATTATTGCCCAGAGACAAACAAATTCTAAAAAATCTTACTGCACTGTTTTATTTCAGATCAGATCGGACGTTGGAGATCGCAAGGTCACGACAGCAGGTCTCCAGACAGAAAGAAAACAATTGATAGCACTTACATAAACTTAAACTGGTCCCTATCTCAATTTGTGAATCGGAATGGATAGCCGGTGGGTTTCTTAGAAACAAATGGTAAGCGAAGGGTTCAGCAAAGATCACACATTTAGCGATTGGCAACAAAACTGCCATCTAATGAATTTAACTCTTATGACATAAAATTTGAGTTTATAGACAAAACGCGTACCAACAGGCTCGACACTACGCTACCAAAAAATTGCCTGAGCAGTGTCATACCGGCATGCATAGGTTCACGAAATATAAAACGTCAAACTAGACAACGACCATCTGCTTCCCACCCTTCAACAGAGACTGCAGTGACTTTCCCTGTTTACGAGATCGAAGATTCCGCAGACAAAGCGGCGATTACAGCGGGTAATTGTACTACTCGATGTATGTTGAGCCAAAATTTGGGCCCATCCAAAATTCATCCAAAATTCTTGAGAAGAATTCCAAGTGCACCATTATGCAAAAATAGTTAGCTTATTGTGTTACTCAAAGCTAAGTTTAGCGTAGATTTTTTTATCTACTTTCGTGTATCTCAGTCGTTCGAAATTTTTTGTTTCCAGTTCGATTCAGCAGTTTTTGTTATCGTCGTAACGTCGCTTTTTGTCTAAAAGTTTTGTTCACGTTTGACTCATTTATTATGAAATAACTCCTCGAAAAATGAATAAACAATTTATCACATATAAAATCACACATTTGCAAAGTCCTAAAAGTCAAAAAATGATATCTTTTTTGTCGAATTACATATCACAATTTTATTCTAAGGTCGTACACAAAAGTTGTGCTTTTTGAAAATCCACATATACACTGTGAATGGTTAATTTCGTTTAAAACTCTCAAATTATCCAGATTGAAGCCAACATTTGATGTCGGAACAAGAGTTTCATGGGTTTCTGGATGTTATATAACAGTGTCAAAATTGAAACGCTCCTATCTACATCTTGACCAAAATCTGAAACTGATTGCTGATTGAATCAATCATTGTGAATAAATCATTGCCAGAGTTATTAAGCACTTTTTTAAAAGTTAGATTAATTTAAATATTGGATGTTAAATTACTTGTTCAAAGAGGCTCGAATGTTCAAAGCAAACAAAACATGTTGCTTTTTGTAAATAAGCTGATATTTTTTATTGAATTTTCAAAAATGTTACCCTGGTTCGAATTAATTTGAAAAAAGAGTGTCGTCTTCTCCTAAACAGAGCCATTGCCTTATTTTGGGTCGGAGATTACTTTTCAAATCGAGTTCTAACTATTTTGTGCATTTCAAAGCTATGTTTTGAAGTTGATTACAAAGAAATTGAGCCTCTGTGAATAGGTCGAAATTGAGCCAAACCATTACCTTTACCCAAAAACCTCTACCACGAGAAGTATTAATTTCATGCCATGAAAGAGCTCATTTGCTTATTTGCATCATGATTGCCTTATCATGGTAAGGGATCGGATACTAGATCCAGTCATCTTAAGTTACTAATTATTTTGCAATCTCATTAGTGCTACTATGTTTTTTTTCTGGCTAGAAGCAACCAACATAGCAGAAGCAGATTTGCAGAAGATACTTTAAAAACCTGAAAGCACTCAAATAATTTTAGGAGCAAGGATTTTTTTCGGAAACTCAGTCTTTTTTTCTGCCTGAAGCTTCTTGGACAAGCTGTGGCAGATCACTATAACTAGGGGTCAACCCGGGCTGCCCAAAAATGCTAATCATATAATTTTCATATATGGAAAAAGGCTAATCATACACTTTTCATGCAATTCCAAAAGTACAGCAAATTGCATGAAAAGTCTATGAATAGTAATTTTTCATTTATGGAAATTGTATCACTAGCAGTTTTCCATTAATCAAAAATATTGATTTTTTACATTTTAATTTCTCAAAAAAATATTTGGTTGTGTTCGTAACCGAAAACAAGTGACAAAAAACTTGGTCACTCAAACGTAGAGTAACCAAAAATTTGACCGTCTCGCATTCAAAATGCATTGGAAACGGCCTGAAATGTTTTAATTCTTTCTTACACAATTAATATGAAGAAAGTATCAAACTTTTAAATTTTGGTGAACATTTTTAAAGAAGATTATTTTTAAAATTTGATTTTTCAAAGTTACCAGACTTTAAACAAGGCATACATAAACATGCCATACAAAAATAAGGGGAGTTTTTAGCGTTCTTGAAAAAATTTGAAGAGCGAAAAAGAAAAAATTCAATATTATTGTATCCAGGACTACGTTATACACACGAAAAATTAAATTTCGCATGCAAAAAAAGTTTTTAGAAAAGTATTTGTTTGAGTACAAAGTTCAATTTGCGGTTGAAAAAAAATTTGGGGGACATTTCAAAATAAATATTAAAATTTTTGTTGACGTCATTAAAAAATGCTAGTCATACATTTTCCTTGTATGGAAATTGTATGACCAGCATTTTTTTTGATGGCGTCAACAAATTTTTTTTCAAGTAACTTTGAAAAATCATTTGGTTTCATTAAAATATTCCATAAACTAGGTCTATGAAAAATACTTGTCATATAAATTTCATACCTTTTGCTAAAATGTTGTCATTGGATTTTCGAAGAATTTTTTTCTTGTTTTTGCTCGAAAATTCGGTGTACCGTACTAAATAAAAAAGGAAAACTTTTGTCAAAAAATGAAAGTCATGCAAGTTCTATATATGGAAATTGTATGACTAGCATTTTTTTGGTGGAGTCAACAAAAATTTTTTGTGTGCATAAAAAATTTGCGTAAAAAAATTTTTGCGTATATATATAAAAAAATTTTGTTGACGCCATCAAAAAAATGCTAGTCATAAAGTTTTCATATATGGAAATTGTATGACTAGCGTTTTCTTAACAAAAAAATTTCCCTTTTTTATTTATTACGATACACCGAATTTAGGAGCCAAAACAAGAAAAAAGTTCTTCGAAAATTCGGTGACAACATTTTAGCAAAATGTATTAAACTTGTTTGACAAGTATTTTTTGATAGACTTAGTTTATGGAATTGTATGATTAGCATTTTCGGTCTATGGAGGTCAACCCGGGAAATGAGAGCTCGTCTTCCGCAGAAAAAAAAATTGACCGACTGGTATTAATAAGTCAATTTAACGATCTACCAGTGAAAAGATTCTACGACTGTACCTGATTCTCAAAACATTTACTTATTTTCTATACTTTTTCGCATATGTTTTTAGTTGTAACTCAACTAGCGACTACTCAGGCAAAATTAATCCTCATATTCTCAGTTGAACCTGTAGAAAAAAAACCATTGAAACAGTCAATTTGAGAAAAGTAATAGACACTGAAAAACGGCCGATCTATTCGTGAGTATACATATAGCATCCCAAAACAGTTATTTACACACAACCAAACACCTCTTTATTGTCCCTTCACATGAAGAGATTTTATAAGTGAGTTAGTTGTTATTTGACAGTTGTTCTTGATTGTTAATTAATACATGGCAGAGTGGCTCTCATCTGGCTGCAAGTAGCTGGAGGCCAGTTGTCTCTTCAGCTGCAGTCCAGCTGCGTACCTGGAAAACAAGTCAGGTCAATTATGCCTCAGAAAAACATCTAGAAATTCTAGGGTGGCCTCTTTCCTATTTTTTAAAACAATTATCCCGTATAAGTGAATTGCAATACTTATGCATGCAATTATAGCTGAATTTGTGATTTCTTGTGATAACGTATGAAGAAAGAATGTGTTCATAATAGTAGTTGGTTTTTTAACAATAAAAATTTTCGTTGTTTCATTATGACAACTTTAAAATGGTTTTTGAAAAAAGAAATTTATTTTTTTTTGAGGAGGGGGGATGGAAAAAGCTCAAGAATGATTTCGTACACGCGTTTGTTTCTCTAGCTGATTGGAATTTAACATGCTGACTGGAGGCTTATTAAAGAACTAAGAACTATTACTATTCTTAAATACGAATGTAAAATCTTCCACTGGGCTACTGGGCAGCTTTTTTGCCAAATCTTTGAAAAACTCATTTTTTATATTCTAATATGCGTAATAACACTGGGCTAGTAACATCGGAGTAACATAGTGGTATCTTCGATACCTTGGGTCGTTGGGGTTTTTGAGAGCGAAGAAGGGGATCTTGAGTTTCTTGACTGCAGACATTCCGAATCCTCCGTGGAGCTGCTGGGGTCCATTGCGTAGTCTGGACATCATCGGGATCTTCAGTCTCTTCTCCATCTCACCTCCTCCTTCTTCATTTTCGTACAACGAAGGGTGACTGCACACCTGTAAATAATTACGAAGATTTTACTGCACACCTGTAAATAATTACGAAATAATTCACGAATAAATAATTATTTAACCTCTTTCAAAAAAGTTATCTAATTTACTCACTTAAGCTCACGGAGGTTTAAAAGCATAAAATTTATCGCGTGTTAATTAGAAAGAGCGACAAATGGCAACAAAAGACAACTCGCAGCTCAAGACAACTTGCAAACTCTCTAAGTTTTTTAAGAAAATTATAATATGAGGATTTTGGCTCAAGGTTGCCATTAGGCGCGCTACGGCTCTAAGTTCGGTATAAAGTCGTACCCTCACAACTACGGCTGTGAGTTGGCACGACTGCGGCTGTGAGTATATTGCGAGTTGTCTGATAATGCGAGTAGTCTTTAAATGCGAGGTGAAAAAAAATGATCACAGGTGAAATATATATTTTTCAGTTTGAGCTCAGGGCAACTATACTTTTTAGTTGAGTTACAAACATTTTGTCAACAATTGCTAGTTAAAAAAATTACCCCGAGCACAAATATTCCGTCATTTTTTTTGAGAGCAGGAACTACAAGTCTTCTTGTAAAAGGGCAAAACCTGTGTTTCAGTTTTAGTTTTTCCGCTATTAAGGTTGCAAAAAGGCAGTTTTTGCTTCTAGTAACGTTATTAACAAAATACAATTTCCTGCCTAAAATTAAATTGGATTGATTTGATTTACCGTTTTCTTTTTAATTTGAAGAAATAGTTTGTCCATTAATAATAACAAGACTGCTCGTATCAGGGCAAAGACCTGAATGTTCCAACTGCCTTTTAAGATCTATGGAGTAGTAACAGCTTGAAAAAATTAAAGGTAATCAAAAAAAAATTGAGATTTTTTGTAAAAATCCCACACGCCATTCAAAATACAAAGTGATAAATTTCCCTCCATTTAACAAATCAATTAGGGCCAATAAGCTTCCTTCAACCAATTTGGAACAATTTTTAAGACGGATTAAATATCCGCTTACGCGTTAATAGCGCGAAAAATATCGCTCGTTAATTGTCCCAAATTGGCCAAAATGGCAATCTTTAAAACCCTATAACTTCACGAAAAATGATCACAAGTAAAATATCTTTTCAAATTTAAGCTCAAGACAACAATACTTTTTGAATGATGTAAAAAAATTTGCGTCAAAAATAGCTAGTTAAAAAGTCGAAATTGGTCTGAAGAAAAAAAATTCCGAGCTCAAATTTTCCGTTACTTTCGTTACGAAAGTCGGAACAATAACGTTGGTCAAACAGGCAGCTTTCAAATTCCCATTATAAGCCATCGGAATGTTCGTATGTAAAAAGAGCTTTCAGATTATATCCTTGAAAACGTGAACTGGTGACCAATTAAACGCAGTGAAATGGCAGTAGTTTTCGCCAGTTATTAAATAATGATAAATAAAGATAACAAACTGCAATGAGAAAGACTTTTCATACCTTGAAATCTGTGTTGTTTCGAAACTAATTGGAACAATTGAGAATTTAATCCCACTTTCGAAAAAAGTGACTTTCAAATTTTCACTTTTTGAATATCGTTTTTTGATAGAGCTTCCTCACATCATACAATAGGTATTGTTGTCTTGAGCTCAAAATCGAAAAACAAATATTTCACCTGTCATAATTTTGTTAAATTAAAGGGTTTTAAACATTGCCAATTCGGGACAACTAACGCTCCGTATATTTCGCGCTATTACCACGTCACGTAGACGGAGGTTTAATCCGTCCTAGAAATCGATCCTAAATAAATTGAGAATTTCTGTTTTGTGCTTTTAATGGTTTTTTCTATGCGAAATATATCCCTTTTACTTTAAATTGCGTGAGGGGATAACTTCCAACAAAAAAATCTCTAATTTCATTTTTACTTTTTTTTTGAAAATTTCATCTCAATTTTACTTTTAAGAACGCTGCTTCAAAGACCTTAATAGGCAGACTTTTAAAAACAGTCAAAAAAATTTGATCTCAAAAGATATTTTGCCTATTAATCTCAAAATGCAACTGCTTCTGAACGTTACTTTTGCAATTAATTAACTTTAATTTAGCAAATAAATAATAAAATGAAACAACTAATTATGTGACCCCAATTCAATTTACTGGCGTTTTATAAGACAATTGACTCTATCCCAGCTATCAGCTGGAAGTGGGTGGGGGGGGGGGGGGGAGGTAACTGCTAATAGTCAACAATGGCAGATTTGGTTCATTTTTATTTTGATGTGATGACTTAAGTCTTTTTTTTTACTTCCACTTCTAGCTTGTTTTTTATACTTTGAGTTGCTCTTGGCCCCATGAAGACGATATCATTAGATCTAAAATTTGATTTTTAGACCCAAATCAATGCAAAAGCATTTGCTTCTATCAATTCTTTTAAATTGGTTTCTTAACTTCCGTACTTTTTCGTTAAATTGTTTCCCGGTGTTCAGAAACACGTATACATGTATACTGTTCTCTTGGAGGTCTTAAAAAACAAAACAATCATTTTCAACCCAGAACACTAAATATTTTTGTGCTAAATTGAGACTTAATTAATTCACGTTCACTCTATTTGCGTAACTCATTATGGAAAATTGTGGAATGAACGCTAATTCCCCTTCAAATCTTTTCGCCATAATTTTCCAAAAAAAATTGAACTTAACTTTTTTCAAATTGCTGAAAAACCTCAAAAATTGTCTAAAATGGTATTTTGCAAATAGATAACCTATAAAATGTTCAAAAAATTTTTAAACAGCGTCTCCGGTCAAAAAAATGTGCTTTCTGGGTTTCAATTGCTTTACACAGCACGGTAAAAATCTCAAAAACAAACTCAAGTTTTAAATTTAAGAATTTTTTAAATTGTTGTTTTTCATCTTTTAAAAACTTGACACTTTCTATTTACATGTGACACAGTGATCTTTTAATTCAAAAATATATACGAAAATAGTTTCAAAATACTTTCTTGATGATAGTTTGCCTTCATTGACAACTTTGTTCAAAATCAAAATTTTCGAGATTCACTCATAAGTTTTCGTTTCAGTATTATTTGCATAAATAACTGTTTATCTTTTCAAGTTTTAAATTTTGCATCAATAGTTTCAAATACAGCCTTCAATCTAACAAGACTGGGCGTATATCAGGGCATTGCCCTGAATTTTCCGACTGCGCTTCAAGGCCAATTAAATTTTTCAATATTTCTTCAAAATAACACCCCATACGCTGATGTGAGCTACAAAACGATGCATTTAGTGTTTGCCCTGAAGATGAGACCAAAGGGCTTACCTCAACACAGTTTTGAACGCATTAATCCGCCGCCTACTTGTGATATAAGAATCATATTTGCTGCGCGTTAATTATCACAAATTGGCCAATTAAGCAAATTACAACCTCTTCAACTTCACAAATTAGTTTTCGCGTTTGAGCTGCGGATAACTTTATTTTTTAGATGCTATAATTATTTCTGCTCAGTTACAAAGTCGAAATTTGACTGAACAAAAATAACAAATCCATGCATAAACGTTCCGTTTTCTTTGAAAGTCCGAACAATAAAATTACTATAACTGTGAAAGGTAACCGTTTTTCAATTGAAATGGAATGCAGTAACAAGTTATAGTTCAACTTTTTAATGCTTGCAGAAACGTTTCGTTTGTTGGGAAAGGTGTGAGAGTACGAGTGCATATCAAGGATCTGTGTTTATAATGGGTTGCTAAAGGGGGCAGTTTTGGATAAAACGGTAACAAATTGAAGACATAGTTTGAAGAAGAAGGAACAGAAAAAGACTAACTGGAAACGGTACAATAAGTCACATAAAACGTATCATCGAAGAAAATGGAAGCGATTGTTTCAGATTTGGTGGATTGATGTTAGAGATTGCCAAAAAGAATGAGTAATGAAAATCAACAAGAAAGGCAAATTTTTGAAAGTGTATTCCAATATTAATCTAAAATTCTAGTTTCGAAGTTCCAACAAAAAAAATTTCTGGAGAAAACAAAAAAGATTTCATGCAAAAACAAACAAGAAGGGCCGTAATTTAAAAAAACGTGCGTGAAACACCAATCCGAGAGAATAAATCGAATTACTGGCAAAAATGAAAATGGAAAAGATTTCATCGGATGATCGTGTTGGTATGTGGAAGAAGAGATGTTACTCAAAGAATTTTAAAAGTTGGGTGTTTTCTTGGAATTTTTGGAAGCTACGTCAAAAAGCATTACTATCAGAACTCTCTGGAACATTCAAATCGTTAGGATTAGATTGCGAAAATTTGGTGCTAGGGATTTTAGCAGACAGGTTTTTTAGCAGACAGAGAACAATCATAAAGTGTGATAGCTAACTTCAAACGCGGAAATTGGCGATTAGCGACTGCTTGTTCCGCTGCGCTTCAACTCAACACGAGTGTTATTTTGCGCTTAAACTTTTTTTCGCCGCTAATTTTGACTATTGTGTTTTTAAAGTTGATAGTTTTGTTGACAAACCGCGAGAAATTGTCTTAATTGGGAAAGCTTGGCCCCCGACTGAGCCTTGTTGAGTCTGTCAATCAATCACACATCACTTTATTACCTTAGTCTGCTAAAAGACTCATTTTTCACTTTTTATGCTAAAAGATTTGGCTGCTAAACGATCGGTCTCCCGAGTATTTACATTCAACTGATGCGTAAGAATAATTCATTTATTTTAACTTATATTATTATCATGGTTTTTATTAACAGAATTACTTTCACATTGTTTATGTGTGCTTAAAAACATCTCTGAATAATTCACCGTAAGCATGCAATTGTGTGAAATATTAGGGCAAAAACTTTTTATGGCAAATGTTAGATTGGAAAATTTTGTCGTACCGAGCTGTTAAATATACTTTGCTGCATAATACTTGTTTTTTTTGTTGAGGATGGGACAAAACACTATTTGATTTTTGAAATGGTTTTTCATAGAATTGGGAGTTATTTATGTCGGATTATTGCAAATGAAAAATTAATCACTTGTGGTTTCTTCTGCAGATTCTACGTCCAAACTCAAGAAGTCACGAG